TATACAGATTTGTATGTACATAAATACACTATGCTAGAAGGCTTCGTGAAGAATATTGTAATGTATATCAAAACTAAGTTAGGGGGCCTAGTTAACAATACTTATGCAATATAATCTTTTGCTGATATTTTCTGTTTTATTATTTAGCAGAGCACACAAATGAGCAGCAAACAATTCAATTTTATTACATGTTTTAGTATATTGAAAAATAAAATGTCATTTTACAAAAGCTGTGTACATAGAACTATGTATATATCATTTGGAAAATCTCAGAATCAATGGGACATGGAAATTTGATTTTTATTATGATGCAATTGATTTCTACAGTAAAGGAAATAACAGTGTACCTGTCATTTCACTCAGTTAACTACAAGTAACTACTGAAGATACTGGAGACTATCGTTATTTTGATGAAAGTCAATTTAATGAATGAACAATACAAAAATATCTTTTTCTTCTTTAAAAGACAAAACAAGTTTGTAGTTTTGCAAAAAACCCAGAATTTCTAGCAAAACCTTTTTTTCATCATGATTTGAGGATGTACATGTAAAAGTTGAGATGCATCATGGTGGGAGTGCCACCCTGCAAGAAATGTTAATAGACCCTAATCCTAAAAGTCAAAAATTTGTTGAGAGCGAAAACACCATTAGACGTTCTCTAAATATATATAGAATATATATAGAATATATATATATATTATATATATATTATATATATTATATTATATATATAATATATATATTATATATATTATATTATATATATAATATAGTGTTCCATTCTGTCCTGTCATTACATTCACTGTTCCACTGACTGGTATTTGGAATAGTGGATGGATGGCTGTAATGGATGGAACACATTTGGAAGAAAACTATTCGTGTGGCTCTCTCGCTCTCAACAAGTTCTCTATAGTCATTTGGAAAGGTGTGTAAGAAAACATGAACCATCATGACATATACATTTGTTTCATGTACAAGTACATCAAATCTACAGCTAGTTCCAAGCATTGACAGAAATTTACAAAGCTATATGAAGCATATATGTGGTACATATATACACAAGACGGGTGTGAAGGGAAGTCAAATATATGAACATTTTTTATGATTTTGAGTTTGATGCACTCCACCTCTACATGGGTCAATCTGTGTAAATATTCTAATTCTGACCCAGTAACTTCTTTCAGCAACTGAATTATCTAGACAACAATTTATTTCACGTACATTTTACATGAATTGCAATTACAAGTTCTCCAAAGAATCATCCATGATAAAAGTCATGATTTTTATCAATTTACATCATAGATTTATATGTTGTATAGCAACTGTAAATTTGATTGGTATCTCTGGGTATTGGATTTCAATATTTGTGCATAGATTGCCCAATAGGTGCATGTCAAACAAAGCCATGGAATAAAGGATTATGATTAATCAAACATTTCATGCCAAAATCACACAAGAAAAACACATTGGATATTTAGTTTTTATGTAAAAGTTATGAATACATTTTGTTCCAAACTTCTACCACATAATACAAGCATTTCAACACTTTGTGTTTTCACATACACATATGCACTTCAAACGTAAATTCCATTTGTTCAACATCCATATCACCTATACATGTTTTGTCCCAACCTTGCACCATACACAAGGCTTATAATTTCATATTGTTCGCATCATATTTATTTTGTATAGTTGTTATATTCAATAAATACACTTAAACAAATAGCTCAGTATTTTGCTTTTCAAATAGAAACTTTCTTTCAAGGGAATACAACAGGTTAGTTTATTTTGAAAAAAAAATGTACATAGGGCTTTTTGTCCCAGGGAAAATAGAAAAAAATTTGCCATTTTAATTTAGCCAGCCCATAAGTTAATGAAGAGAAAGGTATAGGAGTGGTAAATGTTTGTCTCATCATCATAGTTTCTTGTGATTACAATAACTCAAGCAATTCATATTTGATATCTTTAAACTTTATATTATAAGAGTATGACATCTTGCCCAGGTTCAATTGTGGTGAAACTGGCTTGTTTATTTTTAAAGGTATTGGAAAATGTTGCTACAATAAGTCAAACAATTTCTATTAGATCACTTTCAAACTTGAACATTTTTTCAACCACTATAAAATATTAACCAAGATAAATTTTAGTTTGATTTATTTTTGTGGATAAACATTTAAAAAAAAAAAAAAAATTGCCTAAAATAAAACATTTGTTAGACATATAGTAAAATGCATATATTAGGCGATATTTACTGCTGTCGTGGGAACTAGATGTAATATTAAGATCCGTTACTTAGCTATGTTGTTTTTATGATGTAGAATAAATAATTGTTCTCCCCAAAAATTCTGGCTTTTCATTTTCATGCCATAATTTTACTGAAATATATTGATGTACTGTATGAGAAATTTTATGCAATTCATATTATATAATTCTATGAGGGACTGTAAGATTAATCTAGTACATGAAGTATTAAAAGTATTAATACATACCCAGCATTTTTTTAAATTGATATCAGTCAGACTATTAGTCAGTGTGCTTTTATTACAATTTTCTAATAGAAGATGATCAATGTGTCCTCTAACAGGAATGATTATGTAGGAATGTTGAGTGACAATATGATTCCAAAAATCAATCTAGTCAGCTTGGTGCCTGATAGCGAGAGAGGTATTCAAGTAAAAATAAAGATTGTAAGCTGCTATGTGTTTTTAAGAATATTTTGTTAATATTTGACATTCATTTTACCAAACTTGAAATTCCATAACTATAGTAAAGTGTATATCAATTAAAACTGGCCCAGTCATGGTAATTTTGTAATCTTGTATTTAAAATTCTGGTCTGATGTGAAATTACAACTATTTTATTCTGAAGCACATACAATTATTTATTCATGATATGCAGTGATGTTACAAAACACAGGAGTGGAATAAAAGAGTATGTGCGCTTGCATAAAGGAATCTATGCATCATGTCATGTATGCATTATAGTTGTGTAGAACAGAACAGATCAGATTATTGGTTGACAGCTTACAATTCACGCTACTCATTAGCATATCTATCATCTAAAACAACACTGTGACAACTATAGAGGGAGTGGCAGAACACACCAGTTTGCTGTCAACGCAGGAGATTCTTCAAACTTGTCCATAAAAGGTATTATAAAATTGCCAATACAGAGCCAGTCTACATATCAATGTATGATTTTCTGTCACTTCATTGTTGGTCCAGGGAATGTGCATTACTAGGTGGGTGTATGTGTGTCAGTGATACATCATATCAACTAAGAGAAGATAAATATTCAACATTTAAGATAAATAATGGGATGGGACAAAACTTCTGAAATAGAAAAAACAAACATTTCCAATTCTACTGTATGCATTTCATAGGTACGCAGAGTTGAGAACAAAAATGTGTGTGAGGCGCAGGTTTCATATTGATACATGCGATGATAAATGGCAAAACCTTTTTTCTTTTGGCCTAATTCATATTCCTATTTTTATTGTGTATGCTTTGAAAGCAGAAATTGGTTGTACATTCTTACAACATGAATGTGAGCGTCACTATCATATCATTATAGAATCTTAAATTTAATGTCAATACCGATCCAACACCCACCATTCACCTTCAAATCTCTCACATATTAGTACAGTAATGCAAGCAAATTTTAGTCAGGTCATATGAGTAATGTATTCAAACATGACAGGAGCTTGGTTCCATGCTATACACACTCACATCATAGTCTCGAAAAACATCAAGTCTTTGAATATATTTATTTCAAATCTAAGATCATTGACGATGGATTTTCAATGTAAGATTTCCAGAGGTTGGAGTATCTGGACATCGTGGCGCCATCAATGACCCGGTGATCTGCTGACCAGCTAATGTTCATTGTATGTGCTTTGTAAACTTCATCTTTCTCGTTGAATCTTGGGACAACCTGAAAGAAATTAATTATAACAAAACATGTTATAAAAACCCTTGTAAGAAAGTTTATAATACAGTGTTTCTCAGGTTCTTTAAATAAATGTGAAAGTTATTTTTTCATATTTCACAAAATATTCGGCATAATTTTTTCACATTTTCCACAAATTTTGATCAGGGCCTGCAGATAACAAGAAAATAAGCCAATCTGGTTCAAAATTATATTATAGAAAAATGCATGAAAGTCTGCAAAATGTGGCACTAACATTTTGGAGTGAGTGGCATTTGGCATTTTTATAACCACAGAAATCCTGTGATTGAACTTTCAAGAAAATATAGGTTTGTAATATGTTAATTACTTCTATTGTAACAAGAAAAATATGTAAATTAAACAGTATTATTAAGAAAATTATTTGCTTTGGTTGAGCTGAACTCTGTAATACATGAAGTTATGCAGGTGCAGGGGGGATTGGCACGAGAGGGCGCCATCCGATCTGAATGGATCGTTTCGACATCAGTCGTCCATAGCCCATCGTCAAAGCAACAACGTTCCTGTTTATGAAATAATTTCAGCAATAATTTTGTGCAATTTCTTTACAGAATAATTCTCAACAAAACTTAGAAACATTTCATAGAAAAATACAGGCTCCAAAATTACCGGTATGTCTATTACAAAACAATTCAACTGACAACCAGTTTGACGCCACAATTTATTGCTGGAGCCAGAGTTCTACGCGTGATTTTATTGCGTTCAAAACTGTTCCATTTCAAACTGCACATGCACACACACTTGTTTCTCAAATTACATACTAATTAGGTAAATTGTCACTGATAAAAGTCACCGAAAACATTTTGAGCAATTTTGAGAAATAGTACTAGAGAAAAATATAAATGTGTCTCTGCATTCTCCATGAACTTCGTAACTTGTTATGCCAAGGGTAAAGAGAAAACCTGTGCTTACTTTCAACAGTTAGCTGGAGTCCGATTGAAAAACGTGTCTCAAAAAAGAGATTTACATCATTTTTCCGATTATTTTTTCAGCTCGTAACGATAGAATCAGTCAATTTAGAACTATCATGTATGCTATCGGAAAGCATTTTGGCACAATTTTACTGAAAAGACGGGTTTTTCATTGCTCATGAATATAAATTTATGCAAATGAGACGATTATTTCAATCAATCGTGTCATGCAACTCCCCCCCCCCCCCTGAAGTTGGAATCACTTCCCGATATCTCATATTCTTAGAGCTGGTTGAAACAAATTACACCATAGGTGTTGTGTTATGTTATACACATATTATCATATCATCTTCTGAAAACCTCCATGAAAAGCTGATATGAATGACATCCACAGACAATGTATTAAATTAAACTAATCAGATTAATACAAAAATAGAGAAATTTTCATTTATCAGAACTGCTACTGCTGTTTTACTTTATACGCCTCAGTACAGTAATCCAAATCTGTCTCATGGCCGTCTGATTTAACCTTTTCACCACCAGTTACTTCTATTCATCACAAATTCACAAAATAGTCTTGTCTACAGTCTGCACTTTCTTTCAGTAGATTGGAACAAAAATAGACAAATTTCTTGAGTAAAAACTGAAAATTGGCCTCTTGGCCCAAAAATTAGGGTTCATTGCCAGAAATATTGAAGAATATAAGAAAAAAGTGCAGACAAATTTGAGTGAGAATGTCTGGTGGTGAAAAGGTTAATTCACATTATGTGTTGTTGAGAGAAGATGCCTCTGATAAAAGATATGACAATAGGACATACCTGAATCCTACCGATTGCTCCTATAACTACTTCTGGTAAAACTAGAAGTGGTTTGGCATATGTACCACCAATCTGTCAACAAAGACAAAAACGATTCTTGTATTTAGTTGTCAAAACTATACATTATTATTATCGTATGAATGTTTACACAGTGGTCTCTTTTTTTAGAACTGCTTAAATCATGCTACAACTTTCACAGGCATTCTAGCAAATACTGAGAACTGACTTGATAAAATTATGTCAGACTTAGTCATAGTTTAATAGTCATAATCAAGCACCAGACTGTCAGCTATGTTTATCACTTTACAAGCATATACATCATTCCACAGAGTTCTATGCGAGTCATTGGAACAACATTGTGACCAATAGCGTCACAGCCACTCAGCCGCTATTAAATATTCAGTCGGAAAATGCATGTTTTACTCAACATGTGTCTTTGATTTTGTCAGAAAAAGCCAATCGTTTTTTATCTCATTTGGCAAGTCAAGACATTGCATGAAATTAATATAAAAGTGAAAACAGCGTGAAGACCATCACACATTGTGGAAAAGTTGAATTGCATTTCAGTTTACTGCATATAGCACATAATTTATCAAGGTCAGAAAAAAGATCAATAAAAAACAGTAGAGAGTGCAGTACAGAAAGTACAGTGTCCCTGAAACCAAAGAATAATCATGCCATTGAATTCATATATGGTAGTTGTGTAAACAAAAATGATAATCACTTACAGCTCCTATATTTGAGAAAGTAAAAGTACCACCAGTCAAATCATTGGTTCCCAGTTTACCGGATGCTCCTAGTTCCTGTAGTCTATTCAAGTGTACAGCTATTTCATATACTGATAAGGTTTCAACATTTTTAACATTTGGTACAATTAGACCATTTGGTGTATCCATGGCAACGCCAATATTATGAGCAGCCTATCAACAAAAGATAAGGTACACAGAATTAGACAAATATTCAATGTCAAAATAATTATGAAATAAAATGACATACATCAGTAATCAGACATGCATGATCCTTGTGTATAT